AAAGCCTTCCCCTGGAGCTGACACCCTGAATTTGGACTTTTAGCCTACTTTGACTGTGAGGAAATAAACTTCTCTTCATTAAAACCATCCACTTGTGGTATTTCTGTTATGGGAGCACTAGATAACTAAGACAGCAGGTTTTTTTGAAATAGCCCTAAATGTTCATGAACTGATGAATGGATAAACACACTGTGGTATATCCATACAATGGAATACTGGTCAGTGATAAGAAGGAATGAACTATTGATACAAACAACATAGATAAATCTTCTGCTGCATAAAAGAAGGAGCCCTGGTGGCACAATGGTAAAGAGCTCGGCTGCTAACCAAAAGGTTGGCAGTTCAAATCCACCAGCTGCTCCTTGGACACCCTATGGGGCTGCTCTACTCTGTCTTATAGGGTCGCTATGAGTCGGAATTGACTCGATGGCAACAGGTTTGGTTTTGGTTTCTGAGTAAAAGAAAACCCAAAAACCAAACCCACTGCTGTCGAGTCAATTCTGACTCATAGCGGCCCTATAGGACAGAGAACCGCACCATAGTGTTTCCAAGGCTGTAAATCTTTACGAAGCAGACTGCCATATCTTTCTCCTGTGGAGCGGCTGCTGGGTTCAAACCACCAAACTTTCCGTTAGCAGCTGAGTGCTCAACCACGGCACCACCAGGGCTCCTGAGTAAAAGAAGCCAGACTAAACAAAGGGTGTACACTATATGATTCCATTCAGACAAAATTTTAGGAAATGTAAACTATGGGGACAGAAAGCAAATCAGTGGTTGCCTCGAAAAAGGAGGGGGAGGAGCATGGAGAGGGCCGGGGGAAGGGCTCACCCAGAAGCACAGGAAACGTGACGGTGACTGAGGGTGACGGGCATACTTGTTACCTTGACTTTCACTCCGGGGGTGAGGGGGAGCAGGAGGGGCATAAACTGCTGCAGCAACTGTGAACAGTAATCTGACACTAAAGGTCTGCATAGACTCTGGCGCAGCAATTCCAAGTCCGGGCACAGATTCCAAAGCAAGGGTCAGCAAACTACGGCCTGCAGGCCAGGTCCAGCTTTTGTAAATAAAGTTTTATCAGAACACAGCCATGCCCATTCGTTTCCCTGCTGTCTAGGCTACAGCCACTCTCATGGATCACAACAGAGACCACATGGCTCACAAGGCCTGAGATAGTTCCTGTCGAGGCCATTACAGACAGAGTCGGCCACCTCCTGCTGTCTGCCAGGAGCCACGTAAGGAGCCCACAGAAGCGCCGTTTATAGCAGCAAAGGGTTGGGAAAACCATCAATAAGGAAACAAACAAGGAATTCAAAACAACCAAACCCGCTGCCATCGAGCCCATTCCAACTCGCAGCGACCCTACAGGACAGAGCAGAACTGCCCCACAGGGTTTCCAAGGAGCGCCTGGGGGATTTGAACTGCTGACCTTTTGGTTATCAGCCGAGCTCTTAACCACTATACTACCAGGGTTTCCAAACAAGGAATACTAGTTGTTAATTAAAATAAACTAGATCTATAGGTAGCAAAACATAGAAGGTCTCAGAAACATAATATTGACTAAAGAAAGCAAACTGTAACAAATATCAACAAAAGGCTGCCAGTAAAAACTCGTAAAACAATACTATTACATAGGAAAGTAGCAAAGCTAGAATACTGGTGGGAAAAATATAAAAATTCACCTTGATGGCTGCCCTCAGGAGAACGGTATTGGGTAGGGACAGAAATAGATCTCAACTTTACCTGTACAACTTTATCTCTTTTATTTAAAAAAAAAAAAAAAACTAATTAAAATGTACGTAGAAGACCACCAAGTTACACTGGAACCTGATGTGTATCAACATCCTAATGAAAGCTAAGTGCAGGAGCTTGCTGCCATCCCCCCGAATGGGAAGACATGTCACCCCTGACTTGGAGGCACTCAGTAACTGTGCATTTTCAAAGCTGTAAAAGCTCAATAAATAAGGACTCTTTTCTCCTTTATCTTCCTAAGTCAAAAGATTTCCTAACGGGAAATTTACTCTTCAGAGGACACACTGAAGCCCAGGCCTGGTGTGCTCCGCATGCAGAACACAGCTCTGAAACAGACAAGCTGGAGCTCCGAAGGGCGCCTGCATCAACAGCCCGCAGGGACAGGCTGGCGCTGGGTCTCAGGAGCACGGCCAGGGACACCGGGACAATCCCTTGTGCACGTGAAAAGCACCGTGACATATTAACATTCCACAGCGACAGACACCAGACGCAGACAGGCATTCTTCCTTTCAGAGGAGCAGACGGCGGTTACGCGGCCACGCCTCAGGGACACTGCCGTCTGTGACTAGTTAACGGGCCCGATCCTACCGACGGAGTCGCTCGGCACACCCAAGAGCACAAGCGGCAGCCTCTGCGGCCCGGGTCTCCCCTTTGGCTGTTTCAGGAGGAACTGTTGGTGTTAGGTGCTGTCAAGCGGGTTCCATCTCATAGCGACCCCACGTATAAGAGAACGGAACCCTGCCTGGTCCTGCGCCATGCCCACGATCGTTGCTATGCTTGAGCCCGTTGTTGCAGCCACTGTCAGTCCACCTCACTGAGGGTCTTCCTCTTTTACATGAACCCTCTACTTTACCAAGCACAGTGTCCTTCTCTAGGGACCGATCCCTCCTGATAACATGTCCAAAGAATGTGAGACGTAGTCTCACCATCCTTAAAACACCGTAAGATGTTTTAAGCAGAATCATCTAAAATAAACCAAACCAAATCCATTGCCGTTGAATCGATTCCGACTCACAGCGACCCTATAGGACAGAGTAGAACTGTCCGTACGGTTTCCAAGGCTGTAGTATTTACGGAAGCAGACTGCCACATCTTTCTCCGGAGGAGCGGCTGGTGGGTTTCAACCACCAACCTTACAGTTAGCAGCCGAGCTCTTAACCACTGCACCATCAGGGTTCTATCTAAAATACACAGCCATTAATTCACCTGGGAAAATATACACACATACAATCACTCATTAGAATTCTTGGCTGATAAAGCTAACTACCCAACAATCTTCTGTTTTTAAAAAAACGAAGATGCTTTTTTACTTTTTAAGACAGCTGTGGCAGAAACTCCCCATGGTGTTCGAGGCACACTAGCCGAGACTGTAGGTAGGTGTTCACCCACCTACCTGCGCCCGGGGAAGGGCAGTGGCTGGTGTGAGGCCACATGTCACACCTCTGTAAGGAGAGCCACTGGGAGGTCAGATACAAGTGGTGCACACAGGTAAAGGCCGCCTTGCAAACAGCCCAGTCTCTCATTTTGCAATCAGCCCGGGCAAGCAGGGCACGAGAGGGACGCGGCAAAAAGGGAAGTCAGGGAGTCGGAGCAGAGCAGGCGTTCCTCACTCCTGAGCACCCCAACAAACGAGGCTGCTGCCCCATCAGGACGGGGCTGGATGTAGGTACAAGGAAGCAACCCCACCAAAAAGAGCCCTAATTCCCTCTGCTCCCGCTCGACAGGGAGGGGCGGGGATGGCATTTAAACAGAAGGTCAGCTAGCATTACAGATAATCAGACAGTTTGACAACATGCTTCTACTTTTTACATATAACTGGGTGAAACAGATTGCTAGAACACCCGTGTTCACAGAAATCATTCCGTTACCTTCTCTCCGGGCTTGGCTGACGGCTGTAGTTTCTCGTAATCTTTCTTAGTCTCCAGAATTTTTTTCACAAGTCCACCTGTAGAAAATCAGCGGTTTATGTTAAAGATTAGTCTCTGCCCAGGAAGCTATTTTAAATGGATGGGGGGCAGGGAGAACACCAACTTATTATTATTTCTTTTTCTACAGTGAAAACCCACCCCCTGCTGTGGGGTCGATTCCAACTCATAGCGACCCTGTAGTGAAAACAGCTCCATTAAATCTTTATTGGACAACAGCAAGTCTACAACAGACAGATACAACAGCTGGTAGTGACATTAACCACAGAATTTCAAAGTGTTTTGAGGAAATCAGTCTTCCTTGAAAGGTAAAAAACTTCAGAAATAAAATCGACTTTCTTTTCTCTTTCCAAAGATTAAGAAGAAATGTAGATTAACATGCAAAAAGATAAACACCTATTGCAAAGAGAGATGAGAATTCTGAATTGCTTCTAAGTACTAACACTTCCTTTATACTGGGGCAAAAGTCACCCGGGTTCCTTAAACAGTAATTGTGGTTGTTGCTGGGTGCTGTTGGTTCCTACTCATAGCGACCCTATGTGTTACAGAGTACTACTGTCCCATACGGTTTCCTAGGTTGTAATCCTTACGGGAGCAGATTGCCAGGTCTTTCTCCCTCAGAAATGCTGGGTAGATCTGAACTGCCAACCCTTTAGTTAGCAGCTGAGCACTTAACGACTACACCACCAGGGTTCCTCAAAAAAGAACTACCCGGGGTAAATACATATGAAAAACCAATTTCTTTAAATGCTGTTTCACCCAAGTGTGCCTCAGCGTGAGACTGGGTGAATCGGTTATGGGGTGTCAACATGGTGGTGGGCTGTGCCGCCCAGACAGCGGCGAAGCACGTCTCTCTAGGTTGCTATGGAATGGACACCAGAATATGCTGTCAAGTAAAAAAAAAAAAAAGAAGGCAAAATGGAGAAAAGCATAGGTGCCAGTAAATACAAACACATACCTGTTGATATATAAAAACAGAAAACAAAGTGACCCTGCACTTTCCCCGTCACCTGACCCATGGATCTTGTGACACAAGCCTGCACCAATCTCCAGCCTATCACCTGACCTATGGATCTTGGACTTGCCAGCCCCCACAATCCTGTGAACCAATTCTGTGAAGTAAATCTCTCTCTATATATATATACATACGTATACATATCTCACTGGTTGTTACTCTAGAGAACCCTAAAACACAATACAGTACTAATTTGCATTCCCCAAAACCACACCCGTTGCCACTGAGTTAATTCCAACTCACAGCAACCCTACAGGACAGAGAACTGCCCCATAGGGTTTCCAAGGAGCACCTGGTGGATTCAAACTGCCGACCTTTTGGTAAGCAGCCAAGCTCTTAACCACTGCACCACCAGGGCTTCAATTTACATCAGCTCCTTCTACACCACACAGAGAAGAGCAGACACACGGCCCACACACGCCCTCACGTGCGCCCGCGCCCAGAACCTACCGTGCTTCTCCTCCTCTTCCAGCTCCACTGCTGGCACCTGAGCAGGAAGGAAGGAGGGAAAGAGAAGGCTCAGATGTGTGGAGTTCTCAAAACCACGCTGTCGTGGATCTCAAAAAGGAGTAACAAAATTAACGAGGGTAAAAAAAAAAAACTGAAAAATCAGAGAAAAGATTTGCCCACATAAATTTAAAAGCTGGAGTATTCACTCCAGCGCAGTTTACATGTAATCACACACACACCGCGCTTCGGTGAACCAACCATTTCAATCTCCGACATTTCGGAGAGCTGAGGGGCGGCTTCTACCACAAACTGATCGTCCTCCTCGTTGTCAGAGTTCTGTGAGTCCACGATCACATTTGAAACGGCCTTACCGCTCCCCGTCCTAAATACAGGAAATGCAATTAGACATTTCACATCCAGCACAAGTCTTCATCAATCCCAGGCATCAGAGCTGTGTTTGCGGTTACTGGAGAAGAATTTAACAAACCACCACCTCTGGGACAGTATCACCAAACGTAAGGTGAAGCAGAGATGACCTCTCGTGGACTTTGACACGGCCCTCCGGCCCAGCCTCCTCCCATGCCGCCCGTACCCCTCGTCCCCGTCCTACCCTCCCCACCCCATTTTCAAATTTGCCTATCACCCTTAGCACGATTCTTCCTATCCCACGTTCGTGCACACACACCACTCACCCACGTGCCCCATGAACTCTGCTCATCGCCCCTCCCGAGGGGCTGGAAACCTTCCTAAGGCCCCCGAGGCTCGGACCTCCCCGTCAAGCCTGTCTCACCTGTCTACTGTTAACACCTCGGCGTTTTCTTGTCTTTTGACGCGGGGAGGAGCTGGTCTCGCGCTACCAGGCCGAGGTAGTCTTCTAAACCCAGATAATTGAAAACGAGAAAAGTCACGCATTTCAAAACGGACAAAAGCAAACCAGGTTAATGTTAACACTAATTTTCAGACCATCATCAACACACCAGTGGGGACATATCCTGCAAAGTATTAAGAATATTCCATCAGACTGACAAGCTAAAAAGTGTCTATTTGTAATCTTCTATGTCCAGTAATTTCAAGGCATGAAAAGTAATGATTTAATATAACTATCAGTAATAAAAACACGACATAAGTTAGCCATAATTACGGATTTCCCCAAACCTCTACAACGTTCTATTTACAGTCAGTTATATCTCAGGAGGAGCCCTGATGGCACAGTGGTTAAGCATTCAGCTGCTAACCAAAAGGTTGGCAGTTAGAATCCACCAGCCGTTCCTTGGAAACCCTATAGGGCAGTTCTACTCTGTCCTACAGGGTCACTATGAGTCGCAGTCGACTCCATAGCAATGGGTTTGGTTTGGTATACCTCAGGTACAGCAAAATTATATTAACTGTCTTTTTCTCTCTTTGTACAAGTATTTCCCCCATGACTGAGCTTGAGCATGAAATAAATAGCAGAGGTGCAGAAAAAAGCACTCCAACTATGCCCTAGGTGTGACAGTCTTCCCAGGTAACGGCACTACAGGCCACAGACCTGAGACTGGATGAAAGCTCGTTCGGGATTTCTGAATTGTCTGACACCTCGGACTTCTCTTGGCCAGTGGGTCCAATGTCTCCTTCTAAACACACGGCAATCCAGCCAGCAATTCACAAAGGAAGAAGCACAAACAACCAATAAATACTTGAATAACTATAAACACAAATGAGCTGTTTTTCTATCTGTCATTCTGATGAGACAAAAGAGACTTGATAACTGAATTTGGTGAAGATCTGGAGAAATGAGTACACTTGGGCCTTGGAAATCAAACCAGCTGAACTTTTCAGGAAATCTTTTAGGTTATGTTGGTCAACTCAGCAACTGAACCTTAAAGAAATCTGGCCTAAGAAAGGAAACGGCCGTGTGGGTGAATGCATGTGTCAAGGTGCCCACCGTACACATCAGGACCAGATAGCGGCCAACAAGAGGTGGCCATTAAGTACCTCATGGTACAGTCACGTGCTGGACTGCTGTGTCAAGGTCGCTATTTCAATACATGATCAGTATAGTAAGATAACGTATCTGTGATCACACATATACGGGGATCTAGATGGATAGTCATTAAAGTTATGAACAGTGCAATTATTAGTATCTTTTATTCTAGTCTTCATATTTTTCTGAAATTTAAAAGTTGTTTACTGTGGGCATTACAATATTATTTTTATATCTGAACAAAGCTGGCTTCATTTTGATAAAAGGCCCAAGCCATCAAGACAATTAAATCTGTTCCATTGTTTAAAGTAAAAGAGCTGTATACTTTAGAGCATAATAAAAATAGATCAGAACTTTAATATTGAAAATATAATTTATATTCTGGGAAAAAACCTGACATGTATTCTTTTGAAATAAAACATGCAAATTAAATCCTTACACTGGTACAGTCAAAATATGTTTCCTTAAAATGAATTACTTTCACGAATGCAGTTTAATGATATACAATATGAATCTGAGATTCCATGTTCTCTCACATGCTCACCATTTGCACCAAACCTATTTACGTAATGCCATTTCTTACCTGCATCACTGGGGGGAGAGTCTCCTAAAAGAAAGCATAAGGAAGATTAATGTTTGTGTCCGTAAGTCTCACAATACTACAGAAGCAGAACACAGCTCGAGGAAAACAGTGGTGGGGGCCTATTAGGACAAACCCACTGTCTCCTCAGAGCCCCGCCTCTATTGCCATGCTGCCTCTGTTTTGTTTGCAAAGACAGAAAGACAAGAGCAAACAAAACTGTGATCATAAAACGTTACTCCATGAAAACAGGAAACGGGTGAAAGGAAAGTGTATCACAGAGATATCATTAAATTTTGGTTTTAGACAAAAGTCGATAAAACCAGGAAGCCACAAAAAGAAGGAGTCCCGAACGGAAGGGGAGGTGACGGTTCTAAGCCAGGCGAAACCAAGTGAGCGAGCCGTTACGGCTGAGCCATTTTTGGGAGTCTGGGTGGAACCACCAACGGCCCATTCACACGACTGCAGAGCACATTTCCGTCGGCCTCTCACGCGTGGGCGGGAATCGCATCTCACACGCAACACGGGCCACCATCCGCCCTTCCACCAGGATCCTTCTCTGAGGGCTGCTTTGGGGATGAATATGACCTGTGCTAAGCAGAATCGCAAGTTCCCTTCAGGTCACAAGCAACGTGAGTGGTACCACTGAAGGGATGCACTCAAAACCGTGGGTGGGCCACCTTTCTGTCACCCTCTAAAACACGTGAGCACAGCTGCAGAAGAGCCCGACCTGCGTGTGTCCACATGAGCGCCTGGCGCGCCCAGAGAGGGGGAGGGGCCCAGTCGGCACTCGGGGGAGGCACCTCCTTGATCAGGGCCTCCACCCAGGATGGCCTGCAGGTGCACCCTGAGGACCCGGGCCCTGGATTATTCTGGGATCCACGGCAAACACAGACTAAAAACACTTCTCAGACCCCTCTAGGTTTTCTACTTACACGGTGCCCAGAGGGTAGCTCCAGGGGTGGTCAAGCTTTGGGGTGATGGGAACTGGGAGATGCAGTAGGGTGCAGTATGGGACAAAGAAAAACCCCAGAGGTCACAAGTGGGGCAGTCGTACAGGCCAGACAGCACAGGGGGCAGGCCTCGGCCTGCAGAGCACCCATGGGGCCTGGGAGACGGCAGTTAGCAGGGGCCTGGAGAACATGGGTTCCAGGCAGCGCCATGAGAGGATGGTGTGAAAACAGGCAGCGCTGGGCTGTGGGCCCAGGGGTGAGGAGGGCGCTGTGGGGAACAGCGCATGGGGGGCTTGGGCAGGGGACGGAGGGCTGTGGAGGCCCAGGGTGGTGGCAGCAGGCACACTCCCCCACAGTGCGTGGGGGGAGGGTGTCCTAACAAGGCTGGTACACAGCTGTCCTGCGTGGCTGAGACCCAGACCCAGGTCCCTGGACTCCAAATCCCCAGCTCTTCCTAAAAAAACTCCTGCCATCAGAGTGTTTGGGGATGACTGAGATCACATGGCACTCAGAAAGACCACTGAGAGGTGGGGTGACACATTCTCAGACGAGACGGTAAGGGAACACAGAAGACCTTCCCCCTTCCGTGGACAGGGTCCCTGACCCAACAGACACCTCACGTCCTCAGTCTCCTGACCCCTCAGCCCCCCACGCACCTGGCCAACACAACGCCCTCCTTACTGAACCGCCTCCCCTCCCTGCCCTGGGGCTATGCCTCCTCAGATGCCCCCATGCCAGCCTGGCCCTCTCCTGAATGCCGCTGAAGCCTCGTGGAGCCCCTCCCTCACGCTGCTCCCACGCAGGACGTCTGGCCCACACCAGGATCACACCCAGCCTCCCTGCCACCTGCGCCCCACAGCTCTCAGGCTCAGGTCTCCAATCCGGACCTTTTCTCCGCACTCCAGATGGGTCCTCTCCACCTTAGATGGTTAAGTGGCGCACAGCATTTCCAAGCCAACAACTCTACCTCATGACTATCCCAGGAGCCCATCCACTTCCCCTCCATCACCCCACCATCGTCCAAGCCAACAACTCTACCTCATAAACATCCCGGGAGCCCCTCCACTTCCTCTCCATCACCCCACCATTGTCCACGCCAATGACTCCAACTCATAAACATCCCAG